TATTGTTGACCCTATCAAAAGCTTTTGCGAAGTCAAGGTAAATGACGTCAATTTTCCCCATGTGGTCAAAGATGGTTGTCCATCTGTCCACCGAAGTCAGAAGGTGGATTATACAAGAATGGCTGTTCCTGAAACCGAGCTTTTGGAGTGAAGAGAAGGTTACAAATGGTAAGTGATCGTGCATACCATCGCAGATCAGGAAACTTATAATTTTTGGGGATATTGAGAGAGGTGTTACAAACCTGTATCTTGAGGGTTCGCTTTGTCGACCTCCTTTGAAAATTGGCGTGGTGTGAGGTGGCTTCCAATTTTCTGGTAACGAAACTCGGCTTAGTGAATGTGAAAACATCGTGCTCGGCGTTGTTTCTAAGATTGAAGCTCCTTCTCTCAGTGTAGCAGAATGACCCATATTTTGGCTAGGATAAGTGTTTCTGTTTAGGTGTTGCGGTCCTTGACACACCGAGTCAGCGCTCAGGTTCATTTCTGACAGTTCTGTTGAGCTGCAGGTGAAGTTCTCATCAATATAGTTATTATGGGTCAGTTAAAATGTCTGGAAGTACTGTTCTGCATGCAGGTCGTCAGCATCACCGTGATTGTTGGTTGGGAAACTAGGACCTACCAATTAGGAAACTCCGAACTTGACTTGCCGAAGATAAGCTGCGTGATGGAACAAGCATTTCGGTTTGGTGTCAAATTTATTGACAAGCTTTGTCTGATGATGAATTCGATTTTTTCTTATTGTCTTTGTGGATTGTTTCCCCACTTGTTTGAATCGCTAGTATGAACTGCTGTTACCAATTCGTTTGTACTGCACACAATAGTAACTTTCGCGTCTTAGGAAATGGAGAGTACGACACTTTATGTCTGTAGGGTAGTTGTAGACGTTGGGGGCGGTTTGCAGGGCAGATTGTTTAGTAATACATAACATCATGTGCAGTTCGCTCGCTGCAGAAAGTCCTGTTAAGCTGACACATCCAACTATTTGAAATTCCAGCGCCTGTTGTTGGTAGAATGTCTTAGCTCATTTTTACCGATGAAACTGAAGGCTATGGTGGCGTGGTCGCTTCTCTCCACGGGAGTCAAGGACAAGAGGTTGACAATCAGAAATTCTCCGTTTGTAAATACGCAGCCTAAGTGCAATTGCGCGTGATTTCCTCATCCTGTTTATCTGAGCGAGCTCTAAGAGAATGGACAGGCAAAGTACCTACCCTGGGTTTTCCAAGCTGGTAGGCAATGTTCATTCTACGGTTTTTCCATGATTTTGGCAGCTCACAAGTGGTAATGTCAGCTCCAAGATGCTTTTGTGTTTGATCTTGCGTAATATGGTCTGTCCGGATGCATGTGGATTCCATTTGGTAACCAACGTCTGTCGTAACGAAATGATTCGAGACTGACGGCTGCCATATGAAGAGGCGTGAAGCTTATCTTTATTAGCCGGGGTCTAGAATCCCCGTCCTTCCTAATCTGTCTCACCACTTGTTCAGTCGATATATTTTCGAATTTCAAGGAATTCTATACGAATCTCTATTCCTGAATATCAGATTGTGCGTGGTCAGGGTCCATGTTTTGTGATACGGCTTGGATAATTATATTTCCTCCACATCTGGAAAGATTCTTTAGGTGTGTCTCTGATGAGACTGAGCTCAGAATATGATATGTCAGGCAGTATTATTACATCCTCATCTGATTTTGGCAGGTGAGCAGCCAACAGAACATCCTCCACGTCGGCAGTGTTAGTAAGCGTTACACTTGGGAGTCTTGGGTGATTTTGGTTCTTGAGGTCCTTACTCCGAATGAGCCGTGTAACCGTAAGTGGTTCTTTTTTAGGTAGTTCGGGCTTCCTGTTCATTCATTCTTGTTTATTCACACTGAGGTCCTTTTTGCTTGTCAACTGAGATGCGTTTGAGATCCTCGTACTCATCCTTGACTAGCTGGACATATTAGGGGTAGATTACATGGCCAAATAGCTACCTGGTTTCACTACAAGAACTCGGTTGTTCTGTTTCTTTGACGGTGAAATGCGGCCCATCCTAACTCTGTAGACTAGTGCTCAGTCGCCTACAGAATTTTCGAGGACCACGGTTACATTTAGGAGGTCTGTGCTGAGAGACCAACGTCCGATATTTTTATCACGGGGTTGCACGTGGCGACTAATTTGATAACGTCCACCGGATGGCGGTCTAGCCGGTTGACTGCAGTTATTCATGTATATGTATGTGCTGAAGTTTAATTGAGTGTATTTGTTTCTAAACTTGTGCATTTATCACATTATCAGCCAAAAGGTTGGTTGATTGCCATGTGAAAAATAATAAAGAGATAATATGAACCACAAAAGGTGGCTGTTCTGAGAATAAATATTTACATTACTTTGTATTGATGTGTGAAAAGACGGAATTTAAAGAATAACAGAAAACAATTAGGTGATAACAAGTGAAATAGGATATAGTAACTGGTATTCTGTAATGAAGGCAGTGATAATCTTTTGTATACGCATCGGAGAGCTAGTCCAAAAGCAGATGGTTGTCCTTGAGTAGTCATGTGTTTGTAAAATCTCTTACAGCTACCCACTAATGGGGTTGTAGTCACTTCTAATGAGAAAAGTGGGATTGTGTTGTTTTTTGTCCTTTCATTTGCAGTCTTTCTAGGATCGCTTCACGGAGTACGGCGGTTATGTTATCATAGTATTCTCGGGTTGGTGTGTCTAGGCATACTTCATGTGCACCATTATCAAACCGACTCTTATTCTTCCGTAGCCCAAACAGAATAAGCCATTGCACTGAAATATGCTCTTATATTTTGTAACATACCATCGATCTCTGTAATTGATTCAAGAGATATATGTCAATCATGAAGAAAAGAGTCGTAATGGTATTGTGAACTTCGAGGTTGGGTCGTGAGCAACTTTGAGGTGATTGCGCCAAGTTATTTACGCATATATTGGAGAGTTACGTTTGTCTTGTCTGCATCCTTCATTTAGTTTGAGCCTATGAAGGATCTCTGAAGAAATGATTGGGAGCGAAGGGGGGTTGTAGGCGTCTTGTATCAAACGAGATAAAATGCACATGATTTAACATTTCATCAGGTTAGGTTTTAACTGACTATCTACCGCTTTTTCCTTCACTGCTCTAAGGTTGTTTTCAAGCTAAAATGAGTCCTCTTTGCTTTATACGTAACTTTAGATCTTTACGTCGTCTGAGTAGATCAGTGCCACCGAGTGAATTTAACATAACAGTTCGTTAATTAAGATCAAGAATAGTGGTGGACCTACGAGGGTTCCTTGTAAAATTTCTGACGCCGAGACTTCCCAATATCCATACTCCCTATTCACCTTGGTACAAGAAAGCATCCTGTTCTCTTGATAGTTTTAAAGCCAGGATAAAAGTGGGTCAGCCAAATCCATTTATGTCACTTTCCTTATACGAAGTGCATGGAGTTCTCTGACAAAAGCTTTGGTGAAAACGAGGAATGTTACACAAGCGAGTATCTTATGGTCCTTGAATGTCGTCCAGCTTTTCCGTCCTATTGAACGATATGGGTATGATTTTCGTGGACAGTTGTTGTAGGTCATGTAGGATGTTATTTCTAACCATGTTATCCCTCATTTAACCAATGAACAGTCCTTTTTGCCTGTATAGCGTGCTCCATTAGCGGTATCGCGGTTTCAGTGTTCATCATTTTGGACTGCTAGCCAGAGTCAACAGACACCTAGCTGTGTTTGAATGAGCTTTTCATCTGTCACCTCAGAGATCCGAGTCCACTCTCACATTATCTTATGTGAAGGAGTACGCAGATCAGGGTCTGGATAGCCTCAATCCTGTCCCCTCAGTTTCTAACCATCAAACGCGGTGACATCAAATCTACAATTTCGGTATTAGGTCTATCATTATATTAGCTAAGATAAAGGTTCTAATACAAAACTAGACAATAATTATACATTGTCAATACGGACTGAATAAAAATATCCTGTTATTAATTCTCATATTTGCTCGAACGTAATCGATCGGTTTTTGCTTACGTTAACCCACTGTTCAACTAGTCTGTTGACTAATGAGAGTGTGTATTGTGTTGTTATATGGATTATCGTTCATATTAAGCTTGCTGATTCGACCGATATAAATAACTTTTCCAGTGTTTTCTGATCTTCAAAAAAATGGGTAAAGCATGATAGAAGTAATGAAATACACATGAAATTCACTCTCAGTTTGACAGTGAGAGGTAGGTTGTGAAGAAAAGTGAAAAGCAACTCTGAACCTATCTGTCATTTCTACTGAGCTACACTATATATATTGTAGCGGTAAATAAATCCCCAAAATAAATAGCTCTGTAAGTTTTCGACATTGGATGCTGATCACATGTTTTATTGGACTCACCTAGCTCAAGGCGTTCGGGCATGGATCCGCACCAGATCACCTGTGAGAACGCCGTGCTCAACTGCCACTGCAATCGCTAGCTAGATTAGATCCGATAATTCCGATATATCGGCAGTCGTCAAATACAACTTCTGATCTCCTCGATTCTGTCTTTTGATTTCTCTTGGTGGGTACGAGTTATATTAGAAGGTGTTACTGGTAAAAGCGTTGTCAAACACTGAATACCTGTGCCACCTTCAATATCTTTGTGTTGATGTTCTCAAAGAAGTTTCCACAAAACATCTCATACTGATACGTTTTGGTCTGTTCTCTATTTTTTTGTTTGGATAGTATCAGACTGCTACATATTTTAAAATGATAGGGAATTGAAGTATTGTTTTTCTAATTGATACGTAGAAGACTAAACTCACGACCGAAAAAATCACAACAGAAGTTGTAAAACGTGTTATCTGTGTTTAAAAGACATAAACTAACAAATTTTGGAAAAAGTTTTTATTGTACATTGAAATACAGTGCTGCGTAATTGATTTTTATATTATTATAAGATCTGCGTTAATAAGAAGTATATTCTATAATCTTTCGGATAGTTTTATATTGTGCATATGTTAGACAAGTTTTCCCACAATTTTCAAAGTTCTGTTTGTAACGCTCGTAAGTTCGTTGTTTGAGGTGACTTTATCTGTCTTATTATTTCAGTGTACTGACACGTTTTTATTCTAATAAGACTTCATCTACTGTCTTTATTAATTCAGCAATGGATTTGTGGATTTTATAAAATGTCAGTGAAAACATATCATTTGTTGCTTCTTTGAAATATTGTATGGTTACCTTTTTGTGAAGTCTTCACTCTAGTTTCTACACAGATTGGTTACTTAACTGTTACAAACTATAGGCTTGGTTGATTTTTATGATAACATCGCGTTCATTGTATTTAGGCAGTTTTTTGTGAATCGAACGTGATCTTCAGACGTCAATTCCGTCTACTACTTTACAACGCTCACGAATATAGTAAACACATGATTTAATGTTGCTCAGGAGCAAGCCTTCAATCGACTTACACCATGCTATCGTACCATTATTTGTATGTGAGGGTCAAACTTAACTGTAAATGTCTGAACAGAATCCCATGGCAGACAGTCTTTTCGTGTCTCACCATCCATTCTTGTCGTGTCAGATTTAAGAACCGGTTTGGTTTTACGTTTGGGATTAATTTATTCTCAATTTCTTTACCGTTTGTCCCTGAGAGGTAAGTTTTCCCCAGTATACACCATAACTTAACATTCCAAAACATAGTTTACTGAAAGCTTCACTGGATGTCAGTCAGTCAGTCAGCTACAACGTAGGACCAGGCACATATGTGCATCGGTCCAGGTTGCCATACCGCATCAGCACAACGAGATGAACACCGGATTCATAGCAGTGGTTAGGTCAAAGGTGGTAATATATAAGAGAAAGATTGTATATAGAGATATAGTACAAGAAGAAAGAATTGGTTCGTAGAAAGAAAGATATGAAGTGATTTTAATCTCTTAGTTTAAGGGAAGACAGGGAGTGTATACACCGACGCCATTGTGATCGACTCTGAGCCATGTCATCAAGAATCTCCAACCATTGGTTACGAAAGTCACGCGGACCCCAACCAAGTAGTCTGCATCTACCAACATGGCTCAGACTACAAGTTAGTGTCTTCAAGCACTGATGCCACGTTTTGGTTTGGCCGCCCCTAACTTTCTTCCAACCATCTCCAATACCGGATAGCATTGCACGTCGTGGTAGTCGGTGTTCAGGCATACGTAACACGTGGCCCAACCATCTCAGTCGATGAAGATTCATAACCTCATCAACTGATTTACCATCATTTCCTAATACCCTGTGTCTAACCTCACTATTACTTACCCGGTGATCCCAGCAGATGCCAGCAATATTTCTTAGGCATCTGTGGTCAAATACTAATAGCTTACGAGTGTCTTCTACTCTTAGTGGCCATGTTTCGCTGCCGTAAAGTAAAACAGAACGGACTGCCGTTCAGTATACCCGTCCTTTTATTGATAGACGAATATCTCGCCTTCGACAAAGGTGACGCAAGTTGGCAAAAGCCAAACGAACTTATTGAATCCGTGCTGAGATTTCGTCAGACACCAACCCATTAGGGCTGATCAGACTTCCAAGATAAGTGAAGTTGCCAACGCGTTCGACTACTTCACTCCCTATCCTTAGTTCAGGTGTTGACGCAGACCAGTCCTGAAGCAACAACTTGCATTTAGAGGGAGAGAAGCACATTCCAAACATCCTGGCATTGTTGCTCAGTGCTATCAGAAGACTCTGCATTTTGTCAGCGTCTTCATCAAACAGGACTATGTCATCTGCGTATTCTAAGTCGATAAGTGGACCTCCTGGATGGAGATCAATACCCGAGAACTCAGTCGACGAGAATGTTATTTCCATCAGTAGATCTATGATGAAGTTAAACAAAAATGGGGAATGTGGACAGCCTTGACGGACACCACTTGAGGTTGCAAAAGTAGATGACAGTTCGCCATAAGCTCTGACTCGACTAGTAGTGTTCGAGTAAAGAGCCTTCACAAGGTTTATCTACTTCTGTGGTACGCCTTTCAATGACAGACACTGCCACAGAATCTCGCGGTCTACAGAGTCAAATGCTGCTTTTAAGTCAAGAAAGACCACCATTGTCGGACGCCGATAAGTATGCCTGTGTTCTAGAACCTGACGAATGGTGAATATGTGGTCGATGCAGCCACGACCAGGTCTGAAGCCGACTTGAGTCTCTCGTGTTTGCAGTTCACGAGTCTTAGTTAGGCGTCTGATAATTATCGAAGCTAGTATTTTAGATATTATATTAGTTAAACTAATCCCTCTGTGGTTGTCACAGGATGATTTTGACCCTTTCTTATATATTGGGACGATAAGTGATTGTGACCAGTTAGATGGGATAACGTCTAACTCCCAGATCTTAGCTAAAATATTAGTCAACCTAATCGCTAAAATTGGACCACCATCCTTAAAGACCTCTGGAGCCAGTCCATCTGGACCAGCTGGCCTTCCTCGCTTCAGATTAACTATAGCCTTTTGAACTTCAGCAAGAGTTGGGGGACCTACTTCAATGTTCCATTCACACTGTCTGGGAATGGAGGGTAGTTGTAGAGTAGCTGAAGGCCAGTTGAACTGTCCTCTGAAATGTTCCGCCCATCGTTCTAAACGTCTGGACTGGGAGCAGATGAGAGTATCGTCTTTTTCCGATATAATCTCACTTACACTTGACTTATTAATCCCAGTTTCTTTTATTAGTCTGTAAAGCTGTCTTGTGTTCCCTATAGTCGCCGCCTTTTCCATCTCTTTTGCTTTCATTGCCCACCACTGCTCACGGTCGTTTCTTAGACTTTTTCTTAACCTAGATCTGATTTGTTGTCGATCTTCATCGTGTTTAGAACCCGATGGGACGAGTTTGCGAGAATCCATCAGTGTGATAGACTTTGAAGAAATCCATTGGTTCTTTGTAACCCTGTGGTTTAAATCACTGATAGATGTTACTGCTGTTTCCACGGCTGTTTGTATGGCTTTCCAAGCAACAACTGGGTCAACCTCGTTTTCAGAACTACCTAATCGTGACCTCAGTTGTTCCTGAAATCTACTTTTGGTTTCCTCGCTACTCAGTTCGGTTCGAATGGGTCTTTTTAGTGTTGCTTTTTTGCATCCAATGAGGCGCAAGCAGATGCGTGCCCGTATTAGGGCGTGGTCGGAGTCCAAGCAGGTACTCCAGAATGAGCGACAATTTTCTACCGACCCTCTCCAACGGTGACTGATGGCAATATAGTCTATTTGAGTCCATCGTTGGTTTGGTGTAGGGGGTCGCCATGTTAGACGATGTCTCTCCTTATGCTTAAAATTTGTGTTTGCTAAAAATAAGCGATTGTCTGAGCACAGTTGCAGCAGACGGTCACCATTATCTGTTCGCTGTGCCGGAATGCTAAAATATCCACCTAAATGCCTTTCTGTTTGGTTTAAGCTACCTATCTGAGCATTAAAGTCACCCCTTATGAGTACTATGTCTGAGCGTTTAGCTTTCTGAAAAGTTCAGAAAGCCTTCTGTAAAATTCATCTTTCACATCTGAGCTGCAGTCAGTGGGAGCGTAGGCAGAAACGACGAAAAGGCCACGACGTGTATCCCTATCCTTCCGAGTTCTTACGGAGCCGTTTAGTCGAACAGCACATAGACGACTGTTGACAGGGATCCACTCTAGCAGTGCTTGTTCCGCTCTCATGCTTAGTGCTATGCCTACACCTGCCAGTCCATGAGAACTGGCCATCGGGTCACCAGATACACGGAGGGTGTATCTCATTGGCTCTCCGTTTTGCCGAGGTGAGGTCAAGTGAATGACCACACTGGAATCCTGTATGCGTGTTTCGGAGACACAGCATACATCAGTGGAAAGAGACTCTAGGGTTTTAGCCAAGGAAGCCTGCTGGATGTCCTACTAGGATAATCCATATTACTCCGGAATATTGGAAACATACCCATTAATAGCCTGTCCTTAGTTCTATCCCGGCATTATATATGACTTGGGAATGTAGCGGAATCTTGCTTCCCGTACAACATCCATGTCAGAATGGTGAAATTCATATGTTACATGACCTATATATGAAATCAAACCAAACATAGCCATGAATGAACTGGTTGGAGGAATTCGTGAAATATAGTACTTACTAGATACAAGAAGTTTGAAGGTAGCATCCATCGGTAGTGATGTTTTCCGGATTCTCAACTCATCTTTTGTTAAATGTGCATCAAACCATTAGATTAAAATTACTTTATACCTTTCTTTCTACGAACTAATTCTTTGTTCTTGTATTATATCTTTATACGCAATCTTTCTCATATATATTACTATCATTGAAGTAACTGCCTCTATGAATTTGATGTTTATCTTGTTGTGCTAATGAGGTGTGGCAATTTGCACCGATGCATATGTGTGCCTGATCCTGCAGTGTAGCTGACTGACTGATTGACCAAACTGCAAATATTTAAGGTAGCGATTTCGAATAATATACTTAGCTTTGTAATGATTATACAAGTTACTACATCATGTCCTATCTCTTGAAAAAAGTCTTGTTAGCCGACTAAAACTGATCGAACGGGACGAAAACTATCAAGGTACATGTTTTGTCGAGGGAACTTATTCCTAAAATGAACTTAGGGTGAACCACATTGAAATAAACTAATGCAAAGTTGTAATTTTGTGTTGAATAACCTTGTTAATAATCTTATGTGATTCATAAGAAAGTATTTGAACAGTTTTCTTATTTCTTTTACTGTCAGTTTTTTTATTTTCCTTTCGTTGATTTTCCTGTTGGTTCTGGTATAAATTCGTTGCCGGTAGTGTATAAATACATTTTGTAAGGTGCTACATCGTCTGTGATATGACTAAATTAATAGAACCAGAGAAATATGCGCACAGTCTCATGAAATTGCGTGGATTTAAGTTATCACTTATTAACATTATCAGAAATACTAGTGAACTAAAAATACTGAGAAAAAACTTGACGGCCCATTAGTCGAGCAAATCAACTTAGTGAGAAGTACAGACATGTTAAATATTAGTTAAATGATAGTGTGGATACTTCTGATCTAATGTTATCGATTTCTATGTTACCTTGCCTCTACCTGTTAATTCTGGCCTTCGCGAGGATCGTATTCAGCAAGTCTGTGTTGTAACACAATTTAACATAATCTAAATCTCAAGCTATTTACTTTTTCTCTATGTATTCGAACTTTCCCTTTATTAACTTCATTATTTGCTTGCTTTCTTGACCTTTTTCGGTGCTGTTCGTGAATTGTCGAAACTCAAAGACTTGTGTTTCCCTTCTCAAAAATGTCTTGAAAGATTGATTCTGGATATGTAGCATGATGGCTTAAATTCGAACAAATTTCCGTTGTTGGCGTGATAAATGCTCATATATTGTGTTAAATAAGACGTATATTCTCTTCTATTTGAAAATGTGTTTTATTTTTTTCTTTCAGACAGCAAATGGATTTCCTGGTGGAAATAGATGATGAGTTGGACTATGTTAGTTTATGGTATTTCTATTAATTTGGTTGATTTGGCTATTGATTTCAAACTTTGTTTATTGTGTAATATTATTATTATTTGAACACTTAAATATTGGTACAAAGGGCACCGAATACATATGCGCCACACAGATCACTTGATTTGTGTGTGGCTTGTGATACTTCCCGGGTGCCCAGACCCAAGAGGGTGGTTTTTTTTAGGGGGTCACACCCGGAGCCTTCGATCTAAAGGTTTGATCCTTAAGGTAGTGGAGCAACATCAGGAGGTGCAGTCTCATGGTAGCCGGTGACCAACAATTGGTTCATAATCCATTTGTTATTTCATGATCGTGGAGCCAGCCCATGTGCATTATTGGTTTGGAATCAGGGTTTTCCAACTCCCCTAGATTGACTGTCGTTGTCCACCAACCCGGTTGGAGCGTCAGACATTCGCTTTTCGTCCTCTCGATTTCGTAAACAACAAGCAGTATAGGAGTTCCTTGATATTGGCTGTATACGCGTGTCCATGTGAGTGCATTTCGAGAGGGTGAGCTAACTCTCCCCACCGTACCAGGGCAATCAGGAGCAATTGTATAATCCATCGTTGATATTTTATCAATATTATGAGGTTATTATCGACAGTTGTTTCTAATTAATGGCTTAATCCAATTATTTAGCTGCAAAGTACAACGCACGGAGTTTGTCTTTGTTCATCCTCCCTTTGCTCGCCGTTTGGACACATATTTCTAAGTTTGACATTACTTACTTCTGTTACCCCTCATAGAGAAGCATAAGCCACTCACCAGCATTCTCCATAGAACTCTGTTGTGGACAATCCTTCCCGGTTGTTTCCAGTTTCTACTCATTCTCTCGATGTCTGCTTCCAATTCCCGATGCAATGTGTTCCATGGTCTTCCTTGACTTCCTTGTCTTTCTATGCTCTTGTTTGACTGTTTAACTCCTGTCTTCTTGTATTTCCCTACTTAAACCGTGTACAGAGTTTCGATGGAGATCTACTTTTTGTGATGATGCTTCTTGCGTCTCAGAACCTTCTGTGACGTTGAAGTTAGTGCTTCTCTGATCCGCTTTCAATTGTCTTCTATAGTAGTTTCCTCTTATTCGAACCCATTGCTGAGACTTATTTTGAATTCGCCGATTTTATCAGTATTTTGAAGGGAGACTATATTAAACCCTTGTAATGCTATTCGTCTAGTTGTCCAGTGCTTCTTAAGTTTCGATTTCATCTTGGCAACCATCAAGTGGTGATTTGAAGCTATGTCAGCTCCTCTCTTGGTTCTCACGTCTTCTGTTGACTTTATAAATTTCTTATTGATGCAAATATGATCAGCCTGATTCTCTGTGGTGTGGTTCGGTGATAAGGAATTGGCTTTGTGTATGTGTTTGTGTGGGAATATTGTGCCGCCTATAACCGATTTGTTGAACTCACATAAATTTGCAAGTGTCTCACCACTTTCGTTTCTTTCTCCCAGTCCATATCGTCCTATGAAATCTTCGTATCCGGTGTTATCCATTCTGACTTTGGCGTTTAGGTCTCCAATCAGAGTGGTCAGGTCTTTTTCTGGGCACCTCGCTGTGATTTATTGCAGCCTCTCATAAAACTGATCTTTATCGTCGTCATTGCTATCATTGGTTGGTGCATAAAATTGGATAAAATTCATTGTAATCCCCTTTTGATGATTCTGGATGCATGAGACTCCCGTCACATAAGTGCTTTTTGTGTTTCTTTGGATAGCATCAGTGCAACTTCCTGCGTGCACGGTGCTAGCATTTTCTCGTTCATGACCAGGGTACAACAGCATATCTCCCGAACCTAACCTTTTCTATCCAGCTTGTGTCTAATGGGTGTCACTTATTCTGATAACTACTAAGTTGTACCTTCTCATTTCCGTAGCTATTTGACTGGTCCTCTCGGTCTCCCACATTGTCCAGTCATTCCAGGTATCCATATTAATTGTTCCTTCTGGTTGTTAAAAGGAGCATCTGCCGAGTGACTTCCGAAGAATCTCGGCTTTCGCTATAAGCCGTTATAATTCTTCTAAATGAAGATCCTTCAACTTTCAGGGCAAATGCCCTGGTACGGCCGAGAGTGGGGAGGGTCCGCTCTCCTTCTCGAAATGCTCTCACATGGCCACGTGTATATAGCCTCTGCCAGGGAAGTCCTACTCATTGCCTTCTCGTGGCAAGGGTGTTGTTTATGAATTTTAAAAGACCAAAAGCGAATGTCCGGCGCTTTAACCGGGTTGGTAGACATGGAGAGTCCACCTAGTGGAGTTGGAAAACCCTGATTGCAACCCAATGGTGCACATGGGCTGGCTCCAGTATCCTGAGCGAACAAATGGCGTATGAACCAATCGTTGGTCACCGGCTACCATGGGACTGCATCTCCTTACGATGCTCCATTGCCTTGTGGATCGAAGGCTCCGGGTGTGGCCCGCCGAGGAAACCACCTGCTTCGGTTTGGGCACATGGGCAGTATCACAGCCCTCACACATATCAAATGAGATCTGTGTGGCGCATATCTATTTGGTGCCTCCTTGTACTAATATCTATGTGTTAAAATAAATAAATAATAATTAAGTGGTTTAGATTGTTTTTTTCTGGTTGGCGTCTTTTAGTAAGATTATTTTCTATGAAATGAGGTTGCTGACTTCATGTCCAACCCCCTCTCATCCGGTATCGGTAGTAACCCCAGAAAGCCTATTGTCGTAGTGGGATTTGACATGTATAGAACCATTAAAATAAAACTCTCTCAGTAGTTTGGCATTCTTCTAATCCCTCGGTATCATATTGCCACATGAAATGTCGGTCATTTTAATCAAACTTCGTCTTCATATCACGGAATATGTTTGGAGTTGTATTTCGTAAGGGTCATTTTCCAGTCTCACAAGTTTTCACACGTTGTTTTAATTTGTTTGAACTTTGTGGAACCCATGTGACATATATGTTGCGTTTTTTAAGTACCTAGGCATAAAAGAATTTGATTATATAATGTCGTTTTAATATGGATATCATCTTTACAGTTTTGGTCCTATTAATTGAAATCAACGATAACTATATGTAGAATATTGTTCTCGGTAGGTTCTCATTAAGTTACATAATTAAATATCCACATTAATGTTCCCGAAGAAGCATTTTTACTGCAAATGTATCTAAGGGTTACAGCACATGAATTTTAGATTTGTTAACAAAATAAAGCAAAATTGTTAGTATGTACTGTTGACTTCCATAAGTTTATACGTTAAATAATAGTCAGAATAACTACAGATAATAGAGCGAAGGGACTAATCGTACAATTGCGAACCAAACTAAACGTTTCTTTAAAGACGAAGTAACTCATGAAGTTATATAAAGTTAGTAAGAGATAGCGAATTGGGTGAGTGGTCATTAAATTTTCCATATATTTACGTGATATTAATAATCCAAAGATATTTGAATAATAATAATATCTGAATAAGATAAAATTATTAATGAAGACCTAAAACAGAAGGCTCTACGTACATTAGTTAAACTGGTTCCTTTCATAACTGAAATGCTTATTGACTTACTGTGTTCAAGGTTTACCATGGTAACAGAAGCTGTGGAAGATGTTTCTTTTGTACACAAAACTCTAATCTTTCAATATGAATAGCTTCTGCTGTTTGAAGGATTTTAAGTCTGATAGATTTTGGCCGAAAATTACTAACATTACAATCTGCGGGGAACGATTGATGTGCACTGCTAGTATAACCCGTTTGAATTGAATGAAGTAGTAAGGTAATGAATCTTCGTTAACTGTGGTGGCTTGAACATATTTGACTCATGTTCAACCACTGTCTACGCCGATAAGTGATATATTATGTAGGAACAGGTTGGAAGAAAGCTAGGGGCTGCTAAACTTATGTATGGCATCATTCGATGTGGTCACTGATTGTCGGACCGAGTAATGTAGTTAGGTGTAGACTATCTAGTTAGGTACAGTGTGGTTATCGTAACCATTGATAGAGATGTTACATAAGATGACTTAGGATCGATGGCATTGGGACAGATGCACTCACTCGTCTTTTTTTCTCAGATCTTGATTCCCACAATCTTATACTTTATGTAATCTTTTTTATTACCATTGATGCCGTTAGTATTCCTACCACTCTGGGATATGACTGATTAATTTTTTCTGGGTATTTCAATGTAGTGTGGGAATGTGAATCGATGTACATGTATATCAGATTTCATGTTGCATATAACTGACTGACTGAAGTGGGAAAGTGTTTAGCTGAAAGTTTTCACTGCAGTGAAAAAGTGAATCCCCAAAACATTTGCTAGTGTAACTTGCTTCACATGATCAAGTGAGCGGATAGATATAAAAATCGTGGCTGGTTTAGGCAATTTATCTCAGTCTGGGTGTTACCGCCGAACGGATAGAAAATATTAGTTGTGGTTTTCCCACGTCTAACGTTTCTTAAATTGTTCTGCGTAACCTCATAATTAGAATTTCTCCGGGTACGTTACCTCTAAATAGCAGGTGCATAAATAGCTCATACCGTTCCGACTTAATTTTGTTTTACTGTCGTAACTAAGCGCTTGCTTATTAAGTTTTGGTCAACTTATGGTTTAGAATGAAAGTGAATCACCTGTAACTTTCAAAAGAACCGGTACCAGTTACACAGGAGATTTAAAGTCGTCACAGTTTCACGTTAAACCAGCTCATCTAAGCGATAAAGGCCGTCGTACTATTGTTTCGCCCCGTGAAGAAGGAGAGGCTTATTCAGATGATGAAAATGATTCTGGTATGCCACCAGTTGATTCGAAGCGTGAATATAACAGCAAACAAATAACTCATTTTGATAAAGAAGAGGGTGAGGCATCTAGTGAAGAGGATCGACGTTATGAGAATTCAAAGCGGGAAAAATCAGGTTCCAGTAAATATCCTCCAGGGAATACAAATTTGACATTTGAGGAACATCAATATCGGAACCGTTTACATGAAAGATATGAACGACGTGAGCGTGAGAAGAAGAGAATACGCGATAACATAGATCCAGAGTCAATGCATGGGTCGAACCAACATGGACGTCCATTATATTACAAAGAAAATTCTACCTCCAGCAGTGAAAGAGAAGGTGTCCACTCTAATCCAAAAGTGGAAGACTCAGAAGTTAATCGGAAGTATCAGTCTTCGAAACAATCGGATTCAAAGCAGAGAGGTAATCGTAATTACAGCTAAAATGCTTTTGTTTAAAATTTCCTTTAAAATAATGGTTTACAGAATTTAGGATGGATTTTCAGATTTATACCCACCCACTGCGTAACCCGATATGGGTTGATATAATATGAATGAGTTAGAAGTCTGTGGGGTAGTCAAACCAGGATGTTTCACTAATTCATGAATTCCTTGACTTTTGGTCTAAAATCTATCTTAAGGTTGAGATATTCTGGATTAAAGTGTTTGGGCAATAACTGCAATCAATCATTGGAGATGTTAGGTGACACTACTGGAAACCATTTTCAGTAGAGCAGCTGTATTCATTCGTCATAAAATCAACAAGATGAGTTATGAAAGGAACTGAATGAAAAGTACTAAGATTTTTAAATTTATTAGGATGTAATGAGTAACTACATCTGAGTTACAGTTATCAACTTGTGGCTATGTCATTTGGGGTTTCTACCGGTTAGTTCCCATCATCTTGAAAACTAAGAACTTTGCGTACCTCTAGACTTCTCGGATCAGCGGTAAGTGCCTCGAGACTAGTGTCATGTTCTGGTTCATCCGACCTTACTAGCTTCAGTGAACAAAAAACAAATAATGTTAGATGCGCGTTATTATGTTTATGTTACAAAATCTGATAGATATGTTGTAGATCAGATCTGTTATCTGTCTGTGTTTTACCTGTTAACTGTACTTGGGATTCTGTTATTTCTACATTGTTTTTTCTTTAGATCGTATATTAGTGTCTACGGTTAATCAAACATTAGAAAATTCACCTCAAGACAATCGACAATACAAAACAGCTTTACAAGTAGAACGAGAGGAATATGTGCTAAAATACGGTCAAAATCAATCAAATTGTGTTACTGTAACTGATAGAATTATTGAATCGCAAACTATTTATACAGATGAACTAAATCCTTCACAATCAGAGATAAATCGTAAATCGAAATCTAAAAAATCTAAACGTGATCGGAAAGAAAAAGAGCAGAAAATGACATCAAAAGGTCGAGAGGTGACAACATTAAAAGTTAAAAAGGAAAGTAAGCAACGAAAAATTCAATCTGGTAATAGTAGTAGTCATTTAGACTACAATACTTGGGAGTCAATTCAAAAATATACCAAACTTCCAGATCGTCATCATGGACCTCTCCAACATAGTCGTTCAGGTTCATTAGATTCCATATCTTCCGCTTCATCTCAACTGAGTAAAGTTTCTGCATACACTGGTTGTTCGTCACACTCATCACCCTTGGGATATCGTAAGTCATCAACATCATTAACAAGTGGTCAACAACTTCGACGCTCTTCTCAATCACCCAATGATCTTGATGAATCATATACCTATTCTAAGAAACGTTATCATCGTGAAGCTAGAGAAACTGCTCCACCACCTGAATCTACACGTCATTATATTGGTCCAAATCAAATATCGGTAAAAATGAAACATAAGCGTAAAGGTGACAAACGTGAAACATCTGAAAGTATTAATTATGGAGTAAATTTGGCTAGTAAACGTGAAAAACTATCACAAGACAATGAAAATCATGAATTAGAAATAGACGATTCACATACACATTCAACCACTGGACGCACCAAAAGTAAAATGTCAAAATCTCTTGGAACAGAATCTAGTAAACACAAAAAACACTCATCTAAGAGTTCAAAAATGAAAAACAATCGATCAACAATGAGAAAGATATCATCCACTTCAAAACTGGAAGGAGACTATGAACAAAGTAGTCGCAATCTCTATAAGTTAGTAGTAAATAAACCCGAAGGTGGTGAACAGTATTCAGAAGAAAGTGACTCAGATCCACACAGTATCAATGATAATATCAATAGTCGACGAAATAATCATGACATTAGTTATAACAAGATAGCAGATATTGATATCAATGAGAAAGCTGGTGGAAAATCTAAGGAAATGAATGTATTATTTCCTGCTGGAAATAAAATAATTGGGAATGATATAAAAGGTGAATTTAATAGACTACCACCTCCTCCGCGTTATCCGGGTTATTCGGAATCTTCATCTGAATGTGAAGAAGGTGGAGTACCCGATAATGGTTTTTTGGATGATGATGATGACGATGTCAATGATCATAAACTTGATGATGTTGAACTTCATAAAGACGATGATGTTGTTAATGATGATGAAATCAGTTCCTTTAAGAATAAACCACCTGGGAAGCCATTCTATTTCCCATCTATACAAGTAAGGGTGAAATTTTTTATATGTATTAAATAGTGATTATGTATTTATTTTCTACATTGAGTAATTAACAATATCATACTTGTCTGATTCTCAACACTGATTTAATTCCGTTGATCAAGTTCCAATGTGGTCATTAGTCTGAGTGGTTCTTTATAGCGTCCACCATGTTCTGATGTTTGTTAATTAGAGACAGGCATTAAGAAACCCTAAACTCAAGTTTGATGCTAGTTGGCACTCTAATGAATGGGGTATCTGCAATCTTTGTGGAACTGGTACTCATGAAATTCAAATCCTCCTCATTGAGTGTCTTTATACGAAACACGGTTACATCGTTGTAAAATGCCTAAAATCGACATTGGAGAATAACATGTAATGAACTAATCGTTAATAGAACATGTTTTTCATTGGAGCAGTGGTTGTGGAAAATTTTGAATTTTCGTTGAAAACCTGAAAGTACTAGACATCTGTTCCGACTTAGTATAGGACACCTCACCAATACACATCCACAATCTTTCCGTCGGTGATCGAACTCATTGCTTTCGGTTGCGCTCACGAACACTCTAACCTCTAGACAAATTAGCCATTGGATCTGGACTCATAAAATAATAATATTGTACATAGCCACGATTGTGTTACGAGTAAGGAGATAGAAATACATATAGTAGGTGAATTACTAGATGTCATACTAATGAGATACACATGGGCATTTTCATAGTTAAAAGTAATATTGAAACCTTAATCTGCATCTTTGTTAGAGATACAGCTAATTGATTTGATCACTTGTTTTTTCAACGCCTCACCTACTGGTTAGTATCAATAATTTCATCGCTGTTGTTAAGTTTAACTTCTGGGTATAATCATGGACGTATTTCCATAAAATAAAGTAAGCTAAATCACTTCTCAATCCATTCCATTAATCTTCTCCTTACACTTTGATCCATACCATAATCTATGTCTCTTTGATTGTCTTTCTCGTTTGATCTTTTTTAGGGTTGTAGATCAGTAGAAGAATTTGAATGTCTCAATCGTATTGAAGAAGGCACTTATGGTGTTGTCTATCGAGCACGTGATAAAAAAGTGAATGAAATTGTTGCATTGAAACGTTTAAAAATGGAGAAAGAACGTGATGGTTTCCCAATTACATCATTACGTGAAATAAATATGTTAATGAAAGCTCAACATGAAAACATTGTTACTGTACGTGAAGTAGTAGTTGGCAGTAATATGGATAAAATCTATTTAGTTATGGATTATGTTGAACATGATTTAAAATCATTAATGGAGGTAAGCAGGTGATTCGGTTATTGCTTTTGTTTTTTTTCTGGTTAGCGATGTTTTAGCGAGTTAGTTTTCTACAGGATGTGGTCGCTAACCCCATGACCAACCCTCCTCCTTTATCCGGGCTTGGGACGGGCAGTAGCTCCAGAGGGGCTCCAGGCAGAGTTTTGTGTTCTTTTACGTAGTATAATTTCATATTTAAAATTACCGACTGTTCTTAGTTTAACTCATTGAAAGTTGATAACCACTTGACGACTGTTTCGTCCTAGCATGGCACTACTCAGCAGTGCGCATCTTCAAACCGGCTGGATATCGAACTCAGGACTTCAGGTCTCTCAGCGAGCTCTCTATCTTCCTATCACTGATTCAGAATCAAGTGATTTTCATTCTTAACTTCATTCGATTTGCGATATTGCAATCGAATAATCCAATCCAGCTGGTAGATACTTGCTGCTTGTCTAAGATAATTGTACTCTTATGAATACGGTCTCTTACTAGAGCTCCCGGAATCGCCTCGGAATCGGTCACTCGCAAGCACACGATTATTATTAGTTGCATAATTCATTCATACAGCTTTTGTATTTCATGTTGCACATTGACTAGGTATATGTTATGTTTACTTGACTGTGAACAAAATCATTTGTGTTAAAAGTTAGGGACACTAGTAATTGGTTGCTTAAACCGAAGTAAGTAAACCGAATCTATGAATTATCATTTGAAAGCTGACTGCTTTAGTCAGTTGGCCACCGCTCTATAATTTAAATATGTAATAATAAATATCGTTTACTATCTGTAAAAGTTTTTTTTTCTTATGGAGTTCTAGTTGGCTAGAACTCTTCAAATGAACCAATCTTTGATCACCGGCTACCATGGAACTGCATCCCTTTAAGAAAACCACCTGTTTTGGTTTGGGCACCCGAGCAGTACCACAGCCCTCACACAAATCAAATGAGAGTTTTGTGGCTTTTATGTATCTGGTGCCCCCCTCGCCCTTGTACCAGTATTTGTGTTCAAAGAAATAATTAAGTATCTAATCCAGTTGTGGATTGCAGTTCAAAGGATAAGAAAGGTTCTTAATTATCAAATGGGTTCTCACACTACCGAATTATTGGTATATGCTTTCAGTAAACTGACATAAACAAGACAGTTCCCCAACAGAATAAATTTTTTATGTAATAAAATGACATATTTGTTCACAAAATATTAACATAAAGTAAACACGATCAGGTGTCACAATCGATTGGTTACTGTTAGTTTTTGAAGATCCCTAACTCTTTAATGAATTTAAGTCTTTTGTCCATGGATATTGTTTTCGTGTAGTTCAGACTGAATGCTTCTTTTTTTTGTTCGGTTGGAAAATAAACGTCTACTCTCTTATATACACAGTCCAATGTTTAATCCATTCTTCTGTGTTTATAACTAGTATCTAATTCTTTATTTACTCTTTTACAGATTATGAATGGTCCTTTCAGTGTTGGTGAAGTGAAATGTTTACTTGTACAATTACTAAGAGCAGTTAGTCATCTACATGATAATTGGATATTACATCGAGATTTAAAAACTTCAAATCTTCTGTTAAGTCATCAAGGAATTTTAAAGGTGAGTTGTCATTATTGTTTAAGTACACTGTCCAGTTTGTTCATTAGTAGTTATTCAAAACACTTTCTTTTACTGATTGAATGAAAATGTAAAATACATCTATTTTTAACATGTTCGGTACTACTGATATAAATAACATATGTCTGTCATCTTGAAACATTTCATATATCTTTCGAGCGAGCGAGAGATTTGACGTCCTTAAAATCATTTTGTCCCAGACTAGCACCACTTAAAGAATGCTATTGGGAATACCGTTTAGTGATAATGGAGAAGATTTGTAGCTTAGGTGGATGATTTTGTTGGAGTTTTGTTTTCTGAGCTGGATGGTTCGGTCGTGGAGCTTTCATCGTTCTTCTGAACGACATCATCAGCACAAACTTCAGGTAGATCTCTACCTATCCAGCTCAGAGAACAAAACTCCATCAAAACCGTTTAGTCTGAGACTCCACAGAAGTGCACCAATGCTTGAATCTAGTACCTGTAGAACTCTGTACAGGCGTATAACTTTTAGACTATTGAAAGTTGGAACTCAGTCTTTCATGTTTACTATTTTGATCGCTTTGTGTTCATTTCGAGACAATCATTTTATTCCATGGCCTACTAAACGACGCATTTGGATACTTTACCAAAAAAGGAGTTTTAGAACTTTGCCTATTAACTATCTCCTGTCATTTATTATCAACCTTAATTTAGTCTATTCGTGTAAATTACTCAGCCTAAGGATTAGATCATAAACTTGACCAGTTGATCTTACTTGACATTGATCTTGACTATAGTCAAGATATGGATTAGTGTAGAAATTGTTAGTTTTAATTTTTGAAAACCTCATTGTTATTTCATTTTATTTTTTTGCATGTCGATTACTGTAGGTAGGAGATTTCGGCTTGGCTCGTGAATATGGCTCTCCATTGAAACATTATACAGAAGTTGTTGTCACCTTATGGTATCGAGCACCGGAGCTGTTACTAGGTAGTTTTAATTGCTGTTTTTTTCTCGTTTGTTATTTTTAAATCTTAATCAATAGATTTAATCATTAATTGGTATACTAATTCACACATGTTGAGATGGCTGAGACATGTGTTACGTATGCCCAAACACCGACTGCCCCGATGTGTGGTGTTTTATGGTTTAGGGGTAGGTTAGAAGAAAGCTAGGGGTGGCCAGAACAAAACATGGCACAAATCCATGAAGTCACTGACAAGTGGACTGAGTCATATTGGTAGGTGTAGGCTACCTAGTTGGGATCCGCGAGATGATAATAGCAACCAATGGTTAGAGACCTTGAACGACATGGCTCAAAATCGTTTGCAATGGTGTGCGCAGATGCATCTACTCTTTGTGTTCACCCAAATTCTATTCTTCTGAATTTTTCATGTCCCTTTTTCTCTCTTTCTAAATTTATTTCACTGGATTATACTCCTTGAATAACATCTTCAAACCCTAATGTTTCCGATTACTGCTTATATTTTTACTACCTCTACCACTATGGGATTTGAATCAACAATTGTATCAGTGTGCTAATGTGGTATGGCAACTTGAACTGATGTACGTACGTACGAAGTTCTACGTTGTTGCAGACTGACTGACTGGAATTTTGATATAATAATGAAGGAATTAAAAGGTTTGGCGGCATTCTATAATGGCTACATGATAATACAATACTCAACAATATACTAGATTATGCGACCCAGTATCAGACTATGTACTCGCTCGACGTACTGATTAATAGATCAGCAGGTTAGATCATTGAAAATTCGACCGACGATTGAGAACCAAATTAGACTAGGCAATAGTTAATTGACACAAATTGCAAACACTTAACACAATGAAATCCGATTAGAAATCAATCATGAATGAAATTAATAATATTCTATAATTTCATGGATTTAACGTAGTTGAATGTATCTATATTCTCTCACTGATTCGTTACATTTCTCTTTCATCGACATATCAGACTGATTCCCCTAGTGTTTCATACATATCTATATTTATTTATTTATTTATTTCAACACATAGATATTGGTACAAGGAGGCACCAAAAACATATGCGCCACACAAATCTCATTCGATATGTGTGAGGACTGTGATACTGCCCAGGTGCCCAAACCGAAGCAGGTGGTTTTCTTAGAGGGCCACTCCCCAAGCCTTCGACCTGAAGGTCTGATCCACAAGGCAGTGGAGCATCATGAAGAGATGCAATCCCATGGAAGCCGGTGACCAACAATTGGTTCACACGCCATTTGTTCTCGCAGGATATTGGAGCCCATGTGCACCATTGGTTTGGAATCCGGTTAAAGCGCCGGACATTCACTTTTCGTCCTCTTATTTTCGTAAACAACACCCCCGCCACGAGAAGGCAGTGAGTAGGACTTCCCTGACAGAGGCTATATACGCGTGGCCATGTGAGAGCATTTCGAGAGGGAGAGCGGACCCTCCCCACTCTCGGCAGTACCAGGGCATTTGGGGGTGCATACATATCTAGTGTTAATGCGTGTGTTATTATAGTTGATGCAGTTGGCATTTTAGATGTTATTCACTAAACTCTGTCGTTTGTATGAATTACTACCATATTTTTTGTTGTTGTTGAAAAAAATAGGTACCAAACAATATACTTGTCCAATTGATTTATGGTCAGTTGGTTGTATTTTCGCTGAATTCTTACTACAACGACCATTATTCCCTGGGAAAGGTGAAGTGGATGAATTAAATATTATTTTTCGAGATTTGGGCACACCAACGGAACGTATTTGGCCAGGTGTATCTCAGTTGCCTGGAATTAAAAAATGTGTTTTTACTGAATATCCGTATAATCAATTAAGACGAAGATTTACTGAAAAACAAATATCTGATCAAGGCTTTGATTTATTGAATAGGTCAGTTAAAAGCGGTAGTTTATTTTGTGTTTAGTTGAAGAGGTTCTGTAAAGATCAATCTGTTTTGTAGGTTTCATGTGCCACAGATTGATGTCAGTCGAGGTACTTTTAAAAATCAATACACACTGAACAGCTATTTCGTCCTATTACAGGATTGTTCGGTTGTGAGTAAGTACAACTCATATCAGGGACCGAACCCACTGTAAGACAAGACAATAGGCAGGAGGCATTCATCTTTATTGTGAGAAGTTAAAACTTATTTACCTAATACATATACGCTGCTTTCAATCTTCCATTTGCGTTTTCCGGTATGTTCAAAAGACCACACCCGGGGCCTTCGATCTAGAGGTCTGATCCACAAGGTAGTGGAGCAAGGTCATGACATTCACTCCCATGGTAGCCGATGACGAACAATAGGTTCATACACCATTTGTTCCCTCAGGATCCTGAAATCAGCCCATGTGCATCATTGGTTTGGAATCAGGGTTTTCCAACTCCCCTGGGTGGATCCTCCGTGTCCACCAACCCGGTTAAATTGCCGGACATTCACTTTTCGTCCTCTGAATTTCGTAAACAACAGTAATGCCACAAGAATTCCGTGAGTAGGACTTCCGTGGCAGTGGCTGTATGCGCGTGGCCATGTGAGAGCATTTGGAGTGGGAGAGTGGACTCTCCCCACTCTCGGTCGTACCAGGGTATTCGGGGGTTGTGCAATCTATGCAACTTAAATCGCAGTTGGTTTGCGATATCAAGCGACGATCATCCAATCCTATTTATGATAACTGTTCCACTCCCCGTATGCTTGAACTTCATGCTAGATCTTCAGAATCATCTTGAAGTAGGTCACTGGTGATCTGAATATTGAAGTTTAATTGAAAGGGTTTTGTGGAGATTAGTTTTAATTTGTAGATTGTACTTGTCCAGTGCTCAGTGGTTTTCAGTAGTATTCCGACTGGAATCAATTTGTAACAATTACAATCTATGAGGTTTAATGCTAATTTTTTTTTAGTATCTCTAGCTTTTGGTATAATTTATACAAAAATTATTGAGGTCACCAATACCATAGAAAATTGTAAACAATGAAAGGTATAAGATGTGAAGTTTCTGAATATATTCATATCTTAAATCATTCTTTTTATTAATACAGGACCAATAGGACTGTAGGACAACTCATTAATTTTGTCTTATATGATGTAATATCTTTAACAATATTTCAAACCCATTCTTCTCGTTTGTGATTTTTCATTTGTTGTTATTTGAACCAGTAGAATTTATTATATTCTATTGTATTCCTTCAACTGCTGAATAGTAGTTATCAGTTGATCCTCAACTATAGTTATAACTTTGTTTAATTGTTCTAACTTTTTGTAAGCTTAATGAAGATCCTCGGTGTATAATTGCAGAGTGACACGTACTAACCGCCACTGATAAATTCAACACTGTAGTATCAATCTGTACTGACAAATATTTGAGAATGATATGAATTGACTGTGAAGTGTTCGTCTGTTTCTAAATCGTTTCCAAATACTAGTGTAATTGATGTGATATAGGGTACTTGAAATGGTTAGGTATAAATTTAAATTCAAGACGTTTTAATCTCATTTGTAACAGTTATGTTTTTTTAAGTTGAAGTTAATTGAAAAGTTCTTATAGATGATTGATTTCTTTAACATTTATTGTCTTTACAGCTTCCTTACATATTGTCCAGATAAACGGATTACCGCAGAAAAAGCACTTGTTCATCCATATTTCAACGAACGTCCTCGTGCTATCCATCCATCAATGTTTCCAAGTTGGCCAGCAAAGTCTGAAGGTGGTGTTGCAGTGAAAAGAGCATCACCTAGAGCACCTGCTGGCGGTGGTGCTCTGGCAGCGGCTGCAGCTGCTGTTGCTGCTGCTGCGGCAGCAGCAGCATCATCATTGGCCACAACAAGTGGTAGTCGTGTAAGGTATCAGCCTCCGGCGCCTCCTATGGGAGGTCAACGGTTTTATAGCAACATGTCTGATTCACGTCCAGGTACAGCAAATCAAGGATCAGGTGATGCTTTTACTACTAGTGGTGTAGATAAAGGATTCTTACTGCGTTTTTGAACTGTTCTTGTTGTTAGAAGTTCATATATCCTCTCTTTCCCTCCCTCGCGTTCTCTATATCTCTCTTAGATCCAATTCCTTGTACAGAAAAGACTTAAAACTCTTGCTTTTGGATTGTAACTTGTTCTAAAAAAATGTATATGTATTGTATTAAAAAAACTTATTTTGCCATTTACTGTTTTCTTTTATTAACTAACTACTTTTGTTTGAGTTGTATAATGTTATGCTATGGGTTATTACGAATTGTATTATAGAACTCCGGATAAATTTTGTTGTGTATTGGTGTTTCTATCGTATATGTTTGCGAGTGTAGATAATCGATTTTATTTATCCTAACCGAATTTAGCCCAATTTTCTATACAATAATCATCCATATCATATGTAAAGAACTCTTCATATAAAGTGGTCTGATTAAAACATTTAAGCTATCTGTTTTCTCAGTCTTCGAAGTTTTCTGTTAAAGATATTCATAGGTTACTAGTATTTGATCATAGGTACTTTCAAAGCATTGCTTGGGTTTGTTTGGACGACTTAGTGAACAGTGCTGAGGTTAGGCTCAGATTACTAGGTCAAGCTGACAATTCGATTGATGAGGTAATGAGTCTCCATCGAAATGTATTAGATATTCTCGATCATCATTGTTTATCTCGGCTGGTGATGTATACTAGTGTAAAAGTAGGTTAGAACGAGGTTGTCAGCGCTGCATCAAGAAGTGTGTTCAGTCCGTGAAGTCCGTATCTGATAGATTAATCCTTCCGAATAGTTACATGCTAATTGAGTAGGATCCTTTCGATCAGTGGTTGGATAAATTGGTTGAAATGACTCCAAAGCGTCCTAATGGTGCAGATAGATTTAATCTTTGTCTTAAAATAAGTATATTATTACACCGCAAATGTATTCCTAAATCGATACATATTTCTCGTATTCTATATTTTTGACTGATTTTAGTTGGCCGATATACTGTTCATTTTTACCGGATAGTGTACGAATGTTATTTTATGGAAACCATCGCAAGTGCTCAATACTAAGTAATCTCAGCTCAGCTTTCAGTGGTCGCTACATTTTATACATCGTTTGTTCTGTCTGTCTGAACCGTGTTAGTAAGTATATTGCTTGTTGTAGGTATCAGGTTATAGAGATTGTTTAATTTCATTGAAATCTTGAACCGGAAGCACCAAACAAATATGCGCCATATAAATCATTGGATTTATATGACGACCGGGATACTGCCTGGGTGCCTAAACCGAAATCTTGAACCAACCTAAGTTAGACCACCATTGAAAACCTGGGAGCACTGGATGGCTGTTTCTTTCGTAATATGCAACTCATCAACAGTGCTAATCTATGATCCCTCACACTTCCAGCTTTTCAATGGTGTCCTTAGATCGGTTCAACTTTTCAATGATATTGTCTTTTGTTATCTTAACTAACCATTCCTATGAGCGCAATTGTGACAAGGGGACAGTATTCATCAACATAGAGTTTTGCGTCCGATTTGTACAATTCGATACTCATCAGCATGGTATATCTACGATTTGGAGCCAACAACAGAAACATTTCTCTCTAATATATTTATTAATGGCATATGCATATATTCTCTTTCTTGTTTCAGTAGTTACCTCATCTGTTTTTCACTGTTAATTGGTTGATCAATCATTATCATATATGTGGATGGAATCATCGTATCATAGTTATCTGAAACAATGACATTGTTTTATACACCACAATCATCACTATTATCATCTTCATCTTCATAGTTATTGCATAAGGGCAACAACAACACCAATATCTTTGATATAACAAATGATTTTATCTGATGATAATGATCTTAATTTCACTTTTGATGAAATACAAAGAGAATTAGCTAATTTAGGTGTAGTCGGTTTAAATAATCAACAATTAATTCACTTAAAAAATGATTTAGATTTATTAATTAATAAAGAGAAATATGCATTACATCATTTCAACCACCACCACCACCACCAGCAACAACAACAACAACAACCATCTCAATCAGTAACAACTAATGGTAATTCTATGAATGATAATGATACCTATCAACAAATTGATGATAATAATCATATTACTACTGATAATTCTAAAAGAATTGTATCGTATCTATCTAAATCTCCTATCGTTTCCTCTTCTTCTCCTCCTCCACCCCCATCATCATCATCATCGTCATCATCATCATGTTTTTCTGTGACATCTGAGGACTTTACACATTATAATACAAACAGTCATGATTGTAATAACATGAACAATCCATTAAAGAAATTCAATGATCATACAATATTAAATGATTCAATTAAAGTAAGTAATTGTTTACAATTTGTTTAGTTCACTTTCATTAAATACATCTGAAGTTAAGTACAGTACAGCGCTAAGCCAGTGTACATGCAGTCCAGCATGAAGTCAAGTGGATGCTTTATTCAACCACTGAAGTCTAGGGTAAATATCACTAAGTCAGTATACATGCAATCCAGCGCGAAGCCCCAAGTGCATGCTTCATTATTTATTTTTGAGTCATGATAATGATCCTTGTACATGTTCACCTACGAAAACCTTTTTTACCACTTTTACTTTCTCTAAATAGTCAAATTAGGCCATCTTCTCAGCATCAGTCGAGCGGCAAAGCCACTATAACGACACAAATCCAACGGCTTTACTAAACCATTTAATCGGTAGTAACGATGGGCGGTGTGTGTGTGTGTGTACAATTTAATAGTTACTCATAATTAAATTAGCTTAATTTAATTGTGCAAAATCTATTGAAATCAGTTCATATTATACACTAAAGTGTTCAGTAATACAACAATGATCCGACTTTGATAAATCTATATTCATAGTCTACTTCAAATCGATTGAACGTTGAGAAAAGATCTATGAAAAATGGAAGAAAAAACCCCATCTAATTCGGTATTTTGGAACACCTCTTTATTCAATCTTAACGGATGAGTATATATTTGTGAATATACTTGGAAATATCTCTGAATATTAAGTTATTATCAAAAAGAAATTTATATCAACCATATTGTCAGTCAGTCAGTCAGTGACAACATAGAACTTCGTATTTACGTACATCAGTTCGAGTTGCCACATCACCTTAGCACAGAGATGCAGTTGTCGATTCAAATCCCGTAGTGGTACAGGTAGTAAGAGTATAAGCAGTAATCGGGAAGATTAGGGTTTGGAGATGTTATTTAAAGAGTATTGTTCTTTTCCTTTTCAATGACAATAAAGGGGATTAAGTGTGCAAAACATACTTGTACTTAAATAATTACCAAACTTTTTATTACCAATTGTTTTATCACAGTTCATGTGAAATACTTAGAAATAGTGTAAATATGTACATGGAATCTTGTTTTTGGAGGGATGTATATTGCTTTGATTGTTCTTCTGAACGACATCATCAGCACAAACTTCAGATAGAAGTGAAGTGTTTGAGCTTCTCCACATGTGGTTCACAGCTTGTCCTGCAGACCTCGATGTTGATTGGTTCTTGTTGAACTTAATCCTGTCAGTAAGAACCAATCAACATCGAGATCTACAAGACAAGCTGTGAACCATATGTAGAGAAGTTCGAACACTTCACTTCTACCTGAAGTTTGTATTGATGATGTCGTTCAGAAGAACAATGAAAGCTCTACGACTAAACCGTTCAACTCAGAGAACAAAACTTCATCTAAATCATCTACATTAGCTACAAATCTTCACCATCTCAAATATATTGCTCTCTTCAATGTTCGAAAAAGTACTTTTAATACAATAATCAGGGAATTTTCTACTAAGCTCTTGTTCAAGATACGTTCTCTGAGGTTGGTTATTTCATTCGTTCATGTCCTGCCAATGAAAAAAAAAGTCTAAAATTGAATTAACTGGATTATCATATGTCGGTAAATAAGTATCATTCATTCGTAGCCGAATGACCTAAATTCAAAAATCTACGATTTCTATTGAGAAAACTCATATGCTACTTCTTTTCAATGTGTTCAGTTGCCTCAAAATTGTGATGTTGTTGTGTTGTCATCGATTCACTTTGACTAGTTAACATGTAAATTGTTATGTAATATGAGATTTAAGAGAATTTACGGAATAAATATAATCAAGCAATCATTACATGCATGTGTCTGTAATTATATTGAATGTGAATTGATTCACAAACGAAATCTTTACAACTTCACTTATCTTGAAAGTTTGATCAACTCTAATAGGTTGCTGTCTGATGAAATCTTTGCATGGATTCAAAAAGTTCGTTTGGCTTTCTTCAACTTATGTCACCTATGGCGAAGGTGGGATACCGGTCTATCAATAAAAGGACGAGTATTCTACACAGCAGTTCGTTCTGTTATGCCTTATGGCTACTAAACGTGGCCATTCAGGGTTGAGGATACTCGTAAGTTACTAGTATTTGATCACAGATGTCTTAGAAATCTGCTAGAATCACCGTGTGAGATTAGACGCAGGGTTTTAGAGAATGTATGTTTAACATGTTAATGAGGTTGTAAATCTTCATAGACTGAGATGGTTGGGCCACGTGTAACGTATACCTGGACACCAATTACTGCGAAGCCTAATGCTGACTAGTGTTGTAGACGGTTGGTAGAAAGTTAGAGGCGGTCAAACCGAAACGTGGCATCAGTGCTTGAAGTCACTAACTTCTACTTTGAACAATGTTGATAGATGCAGACTGCTCGGTTGGAGTCCCCGTGCCTTTCGTAACCAATGGTAGGAGACTGTGAGTGACATGACTCAGAATCGTCGGTGTCGGTATATACCCTCTTTGTCTCCCCTTAAACTATTAGATTAAAATCGCTTCATATCTTGTTTTCTACGAACTAATTCTTTCTTCCTGTACTATGTCTTTATACACAATCTTTCTTACATACATTACTGCCATTGAAGTAACTGGTTCTACGAATTTGGTGTTCATGTTGTTGTGCTAATGATGTGTGGCAACTTGGATCGATACATTTATGTGCCTAGTCACTGACTGACTGCAATCTTTACAAAAGTGCATAATCTACTTTTTATCTAAATTACAGGCTTTATTAGTAGATATATGTATCATTCTCATTAGTTCCTTTTCTTTTTTGTTTATTCATGTGACAGTGTACATCATCAATAACGAATAATTATTCTCTGAACTTGAATGGAAGAAACATATCCA